AGGTGATGCCGCTGATAGAGCGCCAGGCCTAGAGGCAGGAAGGTCTGAGTTCAAACCCAGTCTCAAATACTTAGTTGGGTCACCCTGGCAAGTCACTTCACCTCTCTCTGCCTCAGTTTCCCCATCTGTAAAATGGGGATAATCATAGCCCCTACCTCCCAGGATTGTTGTGAATCTTAAAAGAGAGAATATTTGTAAAGCACATAGCACAGTACCTGGCACACAGTAGGTGCTTAATCAATGCTAGCTGTTACAATTATTATTTTAACCCAGGTCCTCTGCCTCCCAATCTATCACCCTTTCCACTGCATGACGAACGGAGGGAAATTGGTTCTTAATCTTATGAAAAAGAGTAAAAGGTGAAGGCCTGACCAGACATAACCAGGATGACAAAAAAAAAAAAACAACCCCAAACCACAACCCCCCCAATACATACATTCATACACACAGAGAGGTGCGTGCCCATGTATGCAGCTTCTGGTCTTGGTGGAAGTCTGCTTTCTAAAAATATATATATAATATACATAAATACACATATATATTTTTAAAAAGACTTTCCTAGTGCAAATATCCTTTTCAAATATTTTAAGACCACAGTCACTCTGGTGCACGGCCTCACGACCCTTACCAGTGACCTATGGCCTTTCCCGCATCTTTCTGGGGCTGAGGGGAAAGCTGAGCCTGTTTGTTACACCCCTCCACCTCACCCCTCATCCTCTAGTGACATCATGCAGGATGTCTCTGGCCCCAGGGAGCTCTGTGCAGTGACCCAACACCATGGGAATTAGCTCAGTCTGCTGGGTAGAGATAATGTGACCCTGATTAAATAGCAGGTTCCCACTTCAGATTCCTCGGGGCCTTGCTCCACTCACAGTGAGTGGGTCAGAAGTATCCTATTCCTCCCCCAACATCAGTCCTGTTCTCAGCACTGAACTCTGAAGCAAAGCCAATCTTGGATCACAAGCTAGAGCGCTCCATAGCCAGATCTCACTACACCCTCTAGTGTTCTCCTGCAACAGAAGGCCAGGCTTGCTTCTTGAGAATCCCCTTGCTTCCTTTCATTTATCATGTACAGGATGGTTGGCTCTGCTAGGGAGTGTCTGAGACGGTATCCAAACCCTGGCTCTAAGTCCAGGGCTCTCTATGCATGCCATTTTACAGATAAGTAAACTAAGGTTCAAAACAGTGGCATTCAAACTCAGATCGTGCTGACTCCAAGCCCAGCTCTTTAACTTCTGCATCCCCTAGTTTCCCGTTATTTCTTAACAGAACCAGAGAGTTAGAAGGGAACCATAGAGGTTTTGCATTCCATCCCTTACTTGGAGCATGAATTTAGTAAACGCTGACCTGGGGACTAAGAAGTTATTGCAAGGGGTTCATATCTTGTCCTGGATTTTCCTAATCATCCATTGGTTAACATCAGGATCATTTGGAGTGCCCAAAATGTTTTTAGGTTTAACAAGTTCCTCATGTTCCATCAGGTTGGAAGCCTCTACCTTACCTGGGTCCCCAACATATAGTCATCAAGTCTCTGCTTTAAGCATCTCCAGTGACGATGAACTCACCACCCTGCCTGGCGGCTTGCTGGCGTGCATAGAGAGCCCTTGACTTGGAGTCAGGAAGACTGGAGTTTGAATCCTGCCTCATACTCTCTAGCTGAGTGACCCTTAGCAAACCACTTAAACTCCACCAGCCTTAGCTCTCAGGGCTGTTGTGAGGACCGAGTGCAAGTAGATGCCTGTGCTTTGTAAAATTTAGAGTGCTATGCAAATCTTAGCTATTACTGTGATTATTACCACTCCCTAGCTGGGCCCCCTCTCTATTTTCAAAGAGCTGTAATTGTAGAAAACTTCACATCTGGCTGAAATCTGCCTCCCTGTGATTTCCACCCACTATTCTTAATCATACCCACTAGAACACACATAAAGAGTTCAATCCCCCTTCCTTTCTATTTTGAGGGGAATTTGGAGGAGTTGGAAGTTCTTTTGTCTTTAGGCATACCCCTATTTTTAACGTCTGCCCTTGTCACTTACCAGTCTAAATGAACTAGCATTAATAGGTGCCTCCTTTGTGCCAAGCACTGAGCTGGGTGCCCTGGGGGAAAACCACCAAAGTTCTCTGCGCCTCAGTTCTCTCATCAGTAAAATGATGAGGTTGAGCAAGCTAGCCTCTGAGGTCCCTCCTGACTCTAGATGACTTGGTGTAGGACTAAGGGACTAGGGTGGGGGTGGATCTGGGTTAAAGGCTGCCTCTAGGACATGGGGTCCCAGACAGTCACCTAAGCCTCTTTCCTTATCTGTCAAAAGAAAAATGTGAAGTGATGGGCGAGATGATCTGTAAGGTCTGATATTCTTAAATCTTCTTAAGAAGATTCAGATCTTTAAGAGAAGATTCTTTTTAAGGTCTGATACTCAATGATTATTCTCTAGTGGTCCTCAAGGGAGGTCCAGATGGCTATTTTACCACCTTCTGATTTTTTCCACTGGCATTCACTTCAGCTGCAAAATATTCTCTGCCTTATTTCAGGGGTGGAGATCTTTTTTTTTTTCATATCAATGGCCACTGGCCCAAAGGAAAAATTAAACAAATGAAGAGCTACACCCAAGTAAAAAGCAACTTACAACACTCTTTTTTTTTTTTTGAGAGAAGAATGTTTGATTCAACTGTTAGGCTGCTACGTAATAATTGCTTGTCCTCAAATAAGAGATAGGAAAATGTACCTCTTCCCCTCCTTTGCAGAGGTGGAAGACTTTGGGTGTGGATCATTACATACAATATCAGACCCAGTTCATGTGTATGTTAGATTTGCTGAATGGGGTTTTTTTTTCCCTCTTTTTTTCTGTCTTTTTTATTCTTTGTTACAGAAGATGGTACTATGGGTAGGGAAAGGGCATAAGAACAAAGATACCAATAAATTATTTGAAAATAGAATCATGCAATTTTTATTCAGGGAAGAAAAACAACAAAATATGCTTCAGTTTTTGAAAATTATGGTTAGTCAAGGGGAAGAAAGAAAAAGAAAAATGGAAATACCAAGGTATAGGAGACTGAGAAAAGGGGACAGTAGCTAGGCCAACGTCTCCTGCCCATTCTGCCTCACCTTTTTGGAACCCCCTACACCAATCTCTTGTTTCCCTGCCCTCTACTCTCCTACTAATCAAAATGCTCCCATTTATTGTCCCAGTAGAGATCCAAGATTCCCACCAGTCTCTGTGACCACTGTTTTTTCTTCCTCTACTTTACCAATGAAGCTACTTGCTAGAAACTTACATCCACCCATTGTCCAAGTGCCCTTCCTCAGTGTGGTGCTAGTGGAGAATGCATCATGGAGACGAAAACCCCCTTGCATAGGATGCTGACACCTATACTTCTGGCCCTCTTTCTCTTCATCGTATCTTCTGGGTAAATCATCTATCCTCATGTTTTCAATGATCACCTCTTGACACATTTGAACTTAAAGCATAGATCCTGAGAATGCTATCTTTGGATATTTTAGAAATGAAAAAAAAGGAACAATTCCAAACAACTTTTCTTTTTGAGTGAGTCACCACCTCCTAAGTTAGAATCATTGTAGAGCAAATAGCCATGTCCTTCCTGCATTGTTTTCCTCACTAGAGGACAGAACCAATGGGGTCCTTTGCTGAGTTGTTAACTTGGTTAGTACCCAACTAACCAAGTTAGCAACCCAAGTTGATGTTGAGATGAGGGACTGAAAAAAAAAATAGCAGCTTGGATTTGGTTCAGAATCCTGGACAGGTTGTGTTTCAGTAGAGAATCTGTGTTCCCAGCTTTTTAAATACAAGGTGAGCTATTTGCTTTAAGGTTCTCACCCCAACTTAAGGCAACTACTTGGTTTTCTTATTGGTAAAAACAAACAAACAAAAAAACCAAATAAGAATTTGCTATCCCATCAAGTAAGAGTGATGAATGAAACTCTAGTAGTCTTTAGCTCTTTATCCAAAAAGATAGTAGAAGGATTTTTATTTAAGAAACTGCTAAATGGGTAGAAACCAATTGCAATGAAAAGAAATTCAAGATGGAAGAGACAGAGAATATTGATAGAACAAGGTTCTGGAAAAAGTGGGAGAGAATGGAATCCAGATTCCGGATATAGAGAGATGAACTCTGGAGTTGGAATCCATCCTTTATCTTGAGCCAGAACTAAATCTCTCAACTATCCCAAGTTGATATACATCTCTTCTGTTTACGTTGGCAAGCATTTGACATAACTACCCAGAGCAATTTGGGGATGCCACTGTCTCATAATAGTACCTATGGAGTTTCCTTCTACATGAGCCGTTTTTCAGTAGCTGGATAGAGAAGCATATGAACTATAATATTTTCATTTTCACCAGAGACGTTGAACACCTTTAAACCTTTTCCCCCTTAACTTAGATCAAATTAAAAGAGGAGAAGCCATCACTCTTATCACCATGTGTGTTTTCTACATGCAGCTCCAAAAAAATATGATGTGAGAATGAGAAAAGCAAATATAAAATCATTCAGCTTATGTGCATGACTTCGCCATTCAGCACATTCCCTCAATGATTATTCCTTGGAAAAATGTGTTAAATTTTTACTCTACCACATGATGATAAGAAACTGCTAGACAGCAGCAGCTGTTACAAAGGATATGTGTGTTTTTCTGGGCTTCTTTCACCCCTGAGTGCTTCCTTTGGCCCACACAGCTGCTAAATATTTCACCAGCTCCTTTTTAAGGGGCAGGGAGGAAGTGCTGGGAGGATGATATACCACGCTGGAAGATCTGAATGGCAAGGCCATTGGACCTTGGTGCCAAACTGTTTGTCGGCCTTACTCAAAACCTCAACTCTAGTCGGGTTTCAAAATGGTGTCAAAGGTTGCAAGACTTAATTAAGAGAAAAGAAATAGCTGGCTTGTATTGGAAGCCATCAGAGGGATGTGTGATTTTGTTCATTTTGCTTAGTTTTCTTTGTTGTACTTATCCTTCCTTTTTTTTCCCCTCTGCTTCTTTTTCTTAGGTCGGAAGCTGAGGGGGAAAGCCTTTTATTTTGTCAATGGCAAGGTATTCTGTGAAGAAGACTTCCTGGTGAGTGAGTCCCTGACACATGGTCCTCCTGCCTCACCCCAAGACCTCTCCTTTATCTCTTCCTACAGAAACCCTGAGAAAGAGGATGTTGTGAGGAAAAGACAAAATGGAGAGAGCCCAAGTGACCTCATTACCTTCTTATATTACCACTAGGCAGTCCTTAGAAGCCTTAATGACAAGGGCGAAGGCAGGAATACCTCTGTTACATCAAAGATGATGATAGCTAAGACTTACAAAGAACTTTAAGGTTCAGAAAGCGCTTAGCATAGGTATTCTCACTCGAACCTTACAACAACCCTGTGAGGTAAGTAGGTGCTATCATTATACCCATCTTACAGATGAGGAGAACTGAGGCTCAGAGAGACAAAGTGAAAGAGTCACACAGCTAGTGAGTGGCTGAGGCAGAATTAATACTCAGGTCATCCTGACTCCCAAGTCCAGCACCCAGCTGCCTCTGTATGTCTAAAGACTGATTGTATAATGAATCAAAGGATGTACGAGTTGGCTAGGACCTCATCTAGGCCAGTTTGGACCTGGAGAACAATTCCCCCCAAGGTCTTCAGTTTTCTCATCTCTAAAATGAGAGATTTGGACGAGATGCCTACAGAGTCCCTTCTTTCTCCATATCAAAGATCCCCGACAAGGGCCATCCCGCTTCTGACCAAAGACCTCCATTGATGGGGAACTCACCACTTCCCAAGGCATCCCACTCCCCTTTTGCATATCTCTAACTATTAAGAAGCTTTTTATGTTTACATTGAGCTGAACTTGCCTCTCTGTGACTTCTGCCCTGGGAGGCCAAACAGACTGGGTCTGAGTATTTCCCTACATGATAGGAAGATAGCCCTTCAGATACATGAAGGCAGTTTTCTTCTCCCCTCTAAATCTTTTCTGTACTACCACCACCACCACCACCACCACTACCATTACTATAATTAACAACAATTTATAATAAAAATAGCAACAAATATTAATATGGAACCTACTAAGTGCCAGGCCGTATGCTAAGTGCTTTATAATCATTATCTCATTTAATCCTCACAACAACTCTGGGAGGTAGATGCTATTATTATCCTCTTTTTACAGATGAGGAAACTGAGGCAGACAGAGGTTAAGTGACTTGCCCAGGGTTACACAGCCAGTAAGTATGTGAGGCTAGATTTGAACTCAGTTCTTTCTGACTCCAAGCCAGGTGCCTATCCACAACGCCACCTAGATGCCCTAAATTAAATCTTCTGGGTTGCTTCAGCTAATCCTAATTATGAGTCCCTTTCTCAGCCTAGTCTCTCTCCACTGGATTGTCTCAAAGTCCTTACTGACATGTGGTGCCCAGATCTAACCACAGTACTTGACATGCTATCTCTCAGACATTCCCTGAGCTTTCCTGCTTCCTTGTCTTTGTATACACTGTCTCCTATGTCGGGATTGCCCTTCCTGACCCTTCTCTGTTTGAATTCTTCTGTTAAGTTTTCCAAGTGGTGGCTACGAGAAGGATGAAGTCAGTGAGGTCCACAGCCCAGCAAAGGTGGTCCTGGACTCCAGGAAAAAAAACATTCTTCTGCTTCACATTCTGTCACAGCACTTAGAATTTCAATTACTTTTTAATTAGAATTTTAATTTTTGTAAGAATATTAAATATCAAGAAACTAGAGGATTTTTGCTTTTAAAAAATTTTTAAGGGTCTATGTATCGCAAGATAGGAATGACTAATTACAAAGAGCATTGGATTGTAAGTCAGAGGACCTGGGTTCAAATTCTGGTTGTGTGACATTGAACAAATAAATGACCAAACCTTCCTGAGCCTTACTTTTCTCATCTGTAAAATGAAAAAGATCACTTCCAGCTCTAAATCCTCTTAGCTTTTCTTCCGTATGAAACATTTTGGCAAAGCCAGGGACCCTGAATTGGAAAGAAAGAAGGGTCTTTAGCTACCATCTACTGTTAACTGCCTGATTTTATGCATGAGGAAAGGGCTTCCATTGAAGCCCATGGGATGGTGGGAAGCAGACTGGGCCTGGAGTCAGAGAGATGTGATTCAAGTCCCATCTGCAGCACTTACTGGCTGTGTAAACACGGACACATTCCTTTCACTTTCTGAGACTCAGTTTCCTCATGTGTAAAATGGCGATCCTAATGGCACCTACATTGATGGGGCTGTTGTGAGGATGAGATGGGATAAAGTACGTAAACTTCTTTGTAAACCTCACGTGTATCAGCTGTTGTCCTTTCCTGGGCCACCCAGCAGAGTCAGGATTAGAACACAGGTCTCCTGACTCCCCCTCATGTTGGGATAAGGCAGGAGCAGCTTAATGTCCTTGTCGTGTCAGAATGAGAGGCAATGCTCCTAGCCCCGTTGCCTTTAACCAGCTCAGGCTGAGTGCCTTGTTTTCGACGCCATTCCAAACAGAAAGGGGAGTGGCTGCGCCTTGATACAGGTGCGGATTGGAAACGCTATCCTATGATGTCCCTTTCTCATGTTAAACTTGAGCTATGTTTGCAATAGTTTCACTTACATGGACTGGGCAGCCCAAATGGTGTCTCCTCAGAAACAAACCAACCTCTCTTCTCCTGTGTAGTTTACTAAGATTGATATGATTTTTTTCTCATTGAGAGATAATGAGCAAATTTCTTTATTCCAGAGGAAATTCTAAGTCTGAGAGGCAGTTATAGGTATAGTGGATAGAATGCTGGACTTAGGGCCAGGCAGATGGGTTCGAATCCTACCTTTGATACTTACCAGCTGTGTGACCATGGGCACATCATTAAAAACTCTCCATGCCTCAGTTTCCCCATCTGGAAAATAGGTATAATAATGTCAGTAGTACCTACTTCTTGGGGTAGAAATGTCTGATGAAATCACATACTGCTGTGCATTTTATGAAGGCAGGTTCCCTCATGGAGTCAAACATCCATTTTCAAATGGCACCTATACCTACTTGTTTTATCTGACTTAGTGCAGACATTACTGTTTTCTTTTTCCCTTGCAGTATTCTGGTTTCCAGCAATCTGCCGATAGGTGTTTTGTATGTGGACACTTGATAATGGATATGGTGAGTAGTGATGGCCAAAGAAAGACCAATGATGTTTGGAATGAACATGCCCCCAGGGCCAGGAATACAGAAGGGAAGGGGGTCACCCACTTTGACTTCTTATTGCAACTGGTTCCATTGAAGGTGCAAAAAACACATGAGACTTGTGAGCTAAAATAGAGCCCAGGGCATCTGGCTTTTATCAGAGTCCACCCTTACCAGTAGCAGTCATGAGTGGTTTGGTCTGTACAGGCATTTCCCAGGTAATCTCGGTGTGTTGTTTGTCCATTTTTGAAGAGGACCCGTGATGTCATGGGGTGATGTCTTGACTCGTTCATGAATTGGGTTCAAGTGAGTCTTGTCTTGATTGGAATCTGAGCAAGAAAACAGACTTAATTAAGCATTTGGATTCCATTAAAACTTTGAATGTTTTGAATGTGGAAGCAGTAGACTGTGCCTCTTTCCCAGGCAATAGTGCTTTCAAGTAAGAGATCTAACCTGGTAGGTTATATTATAAGCTCCCTGAGGGTAGGGATGCTTTCAGTCCTTAGTACCCGGCACATATTAGATGCTTAAGAAATATTGGTTGAATTGAATTTCCCAAGGCTACTCAACTGTAATCATTTTTGATCATCATAGAATTTTCTACTTCACCAAAAAAACTAACCATTATCTTATTTTTTTCTTTTTGGTGAGGCAACCAGGGTTAAGTGACTTGCCCAGGGTCACACAGCTAGTAAGTGTCAAGTGTCTGAGGCCAGATTTGAACTCAGGTCCTCCTGACTCCAAGGCTGGAGCTCTATCCACTGTGCCACCTAGCTGCCCCAACAGTACATTTCAGAGGGACTTGAATGCAGGTCCCCTGACTCAAGAATTCTTTCAGCAGAAGTTAATGAATAAGGCATTTTATGAACAGGTGAACACTGTTAGGATAGAACATATTACTAGTCCTAGGATTTGGGTGCATTTGGGTGTAAGGTTTGGCCTTAAGTTGGGTCATCCTAACCCCTAGGACATGACTGTCCAGTTAAGACTTTCCATAACAGAGCTTACCTCAAAGGCAAAGGTTAGTTGTTTCTTGTTACTAGAATCGTGGAAAAAGGTTGTAGTATGTTAAAAAACCAACTACTTCCAAATTCTTTTTCACTGGCTACATTTGCTTTAGCTAGGGCCTGATCTGTTATCCATATTGATCCATCCTTATTGATTCTTGATGGAATGAATGAATGATGTCATTGCTTTATAGGAGCAGTTTGCAAATTTGTGCCCCCTCTTATGATTCCCTGGGCTTTTTATAGACTCCACATATCATATGTCACCAATTTGGTTCCAAAGCAGGTGTGTAACATCATTGTGCAGATTGTAGAAGTGATTTCTGCATGGAATGGAAGATCTAACTGGATGACCATGAAGGTCATTCAGCTCCAAGGTTCTTTGAGAAGCCTGGCCCCTACTGAATAACAAACCAGGTCTTCTCACACTCCTTCCAGACTTCAGCTGTTTGCACAGCTTGACTTCCCTCCCCTCCCCCAACAATGTGAACTATAAAGGCAGGGTCTTCCATGGATCCTAACTTCCTGATCTGTCCTGTTTCATTATTCTGTCTGTCCTCTTCTTGATCATTCTCGCCTCCTCCCTAATCCTTAACAAGTCCCATCATTTTCCCTTCTCTATCTCTCTTTTATTTTTCCTAGATCCTTCAGGCTTTAGGAAAGTCGTATCACCCGGGCTGTTTCCGCTGTGTGATCTGTAACGAGTGTCTGGATGGGGTGCCGTTCACGGTAGACACGGAGAACAAGATCTACTGTGTCCGAGATTACCACAAGTAAGGAACCAGTAGGGAATTATTCCAAACATAAAAGGAGTTCATCTCAGCAAAGAGAGAGATGAACTGAGCTCAGCATTTAAAAAGCACTGTCATATTGTTCATATCTATTAACCAATTTTTAAAATAATTTTACATTTTGATTTTTCCCTAATTGCATGTAAAAAATTTTTGACATTTGTTTTGAAACATTTTTGAGTTCCAAATTTTCTCTTTCCTCCCTCCCCTCCTTAGAGAAGATTAAACAATTTGACATAGGTCATACATGTGCAGTATTGACCAATTTTAGAACAGATGTTCAACCTTTTTGATGTTCAGCAAGGGGAAAAAGAGCTCTATTTGGGGGAATATGTGGGGAATGTGATAGTTGCTTCAAATATGCAAAAGGCAGTCTGGCAGCAGAGGGGTTGAACTTGGTTTGTTTACCGCCAGAGGGCAGAACCAGAACCAACGAATGGAAATTATTAGGAAATACCCATTTAAGCTTGATGTCCCGGGAAGACTTCCACCCAGTGAAAGCTGTTGGCCAGGAGAATGAATTGCCTCCAGAAGTGGTAGAGGCCGTCCCCTTGGGAAGCAGAGACCACTTGAGCATTGTTATAGTGAGGATTCCTTTTGATTGGTCGAGTCAGATTAGATAGCCACTGAGGTCTCTTTCAACTCTCTAATTTTGTGACCAATAGTCCAATCTTCTGGCCAGACCTTAAACAAGCTTCCTCTGGGCATGGTTTGTCTGTCTTTATTTTCCACATTACTAGCAAAGGATTGTGCAATTCCTGTAAAGGATGTCCTCTGAGAGCCATAGAACCAGAAGAGAAGTGAGGTTACTCATTTATCTAGAGCAATCAGTGATCACAAAGTATGCTCCATTGGTTGGGCCCAACGTGAGGTCAGGCCATCTAAAGGAAGGCTGCTACCCCATTGGGTAGGCCCTTTATGGGGGAGTTCCTGGAGCATTTGGACAACAAGAAGTTTCAGTCTCCTCCAATGGAGGGAGTACCCACATTGATGAGATAATAGAGTGCTTTGTGAAGTGCGGGCTTTCAATTCCTAAGCAGGTAGGCTGTTTACTCATTGACTTGCACCAAGGGGACCGCCCCATTTTAGGCAAAACAAAAGAAGACAGTGAGGAATTTCTAGTTGATTCCATAGGTCATACATCCACCAACAATCAGAGAGTAGTCCTAAGGCAATCTGAGAGCACTGGAGAGATGGTGAGATAGGGATATGTTCTATCCATAGGAGCAAAAGGAGTTTGGAATAAGAGGTCAGATGGCGTGTGTGTGGTTCTTCTGGGAAGGCTTTAAGATTTTGAGGCATGTGCCTAGAAGGAGGTCTGGCACTTTGTCCTTCATCTGCTGTTACAAGGATTCTGCATCTTGTGTTTTTTTAGGGTATTGGCTCCCAAGTGTGCTGCATGTGGACTCCCTATTCTTCCATCTGAGGTAAGATACTTTTAGGAAAAGGGGCAGCTTGGTGGGCAGTGGATAGAATTTCAGGCCTGGAATCAGGAAGACCTGAGTTCAAATCCAATGTCAGATACTTCCTAGCTCTGTGACCCCGGGCAAGTCACATAAAACCTTGTTTGTTTCCTCCTCTGTCAAATGAGCTGGAGAAGGAAATGGCAAACCACTCTAGTATCTAGTATCTACCAAGAAAACCCCAAAAGGAGTCACACATGACTGAAACCACCCAACAGCAACGCCTTCAGGAAGAGATAAATACAGTCCACTCTCCAGCCTTCATCTAAGGGTCTTCCTTGACATGAAGGTCTCCATAAAGCCCAACTGTTTTCTTCCTCTTGGCCCTCTTGTCATCTCTTCTTAAACCACGTGAAGCCCTAGCTTTGTGATAAATAGAATCCTATCTCCTCTCCCCCACCCCTCGACTATTTTAATTTTCCACCAGCTCAGGAACAATGCTGTGGGAAGATTTGTGGAGAAGGAAGCAGCCCAACCATAGGAAGTGTTGACCCTAATGGTCCTGTTGCCCCTTGGATGAAATAAAATTTTTCTCCTAGATATCAATGTCCAGTTTATTATAATAAGTAAAAGAGAGAAAAAAGAACTGAAAAGATCACAGGATCATTATTTTTTTTTAAAATCCTCAACTGCCTATTTTCCCACTCTCCTCTCACAAGGCCCATTTTAAACAAGGCTACATACAGGTCACCTCCTCCCCTTCCCTCTAGTATTTTTTCTCTTATAAGTATGTTCGTAGCCTATATATAGTTTGTATCTTTCTGTTGTGAGGCCAGGATTTCTCCCAGCAGGAAAAATGCCCCTTTCCTCCCAATATGCTTCCCACGGTCTGTGAGCACCTCTGTCCTGATGTTCTTCCTGTATCTGATGTTTCTTCTTGCTCTTTTTGATGCAGGGCTCTGACGAAACTATCCGTGTTGTGTCAATGGATAAAGATTACCACGTGGAGTGTTATCACTGTGAGGTAGGCCAGCCACTTTCTGGGGAAGGGCCAGGGCGCCTGATTGAAAAAAAGCAAGAGGGAGAAAAAAGTCCCCTATCCCCCCAAATTATTAAATTCTGAATAGTGTGGCCAGCAGGAAGCAGGAGGACAGAGGAATGAATGTTTGCTTGGGGGAGTGATTTGTTTCCTCTGCCAGCTCACAAGTCTGAAAGTCGTCATCGTTGTTAATATACCTGAGCTCTTGTGGTCTCTGTGTTGTGAACACCAGGGCTGGCTTGTATTGGTGTTACCGGGCTGTGCTGGCTAAGCCTCAGGTTTCAGATCATGTTTGTGGGTCCAGTTTCTGAGGGAGATGATTTTCAAGCCCTGTGTGATATAGAAAACCACAATCCCGCCCCCCCCCACCCCACAGTCTCTACATTTGCATGACAGCAGGGTCAGATCTCACAGCATAATCTTGGGATTAAAGAAAAAATGCAAAAAACCAGACTGGTTACCTGTCTAGTACCAAAGGCCGAGCATGGCTAACTGGTCCTTGAAGCACATTTAAGGCCTCTCTGTTACACGGGACACACTGACGAAAGTAACAGCAATTGAAATTCCCAAATCATTTTAAGGCTTGTAAAGTGTTTTACATATGTTATCTTGCTAGAGTTTTATGACTACCCTTCGAGATCGGTATTTGCAGATATGATTCCCATTTTATAGATGTGAAAACTGAAGCTTTGGCAGATGTGATGCCCAGTTTGTAGATGTGAAACCTGAAGGGAGGTTAAGTGACTTGCCCATGGTGATAGAAATAACCAAACAATCGCAGGTGGGGACTTGAATCTCACTCTCTCTGATTCCCAGTTCTGGGCTCTGCCCACTGCCCTGCCCTGCCCTGCCCAGGCATGGTTTTGCAAATCTGGCTTGTGCTCTAAGTGGGCCCTTCCAAAGGGGAGCAGCCCTTCGGCATTCCAGGGGCAGCCTCCCCAGCTGGACGAAGGTGTTTTGCAAAGGCCAGCTGCAGAATCAGATGTGAACAGATTCAATCACTGACCCTCTCAGTGGTATCATTTACCTTGATCCTGCTCCCAGAAGTATCAGCAGCGGTGCCTCCAGAATCCAGAGGGAAGAGCTCCACAATGGCCCTTTTCTACAGGAATGTAGGTAGTGAGAGGAGCAGTCAGGTGGGATAGCGGATAGATTCCTGAACTTGGAGCAGGGAAGACCTGAGTTCAAATCCTGCCTTCTACATTTACTAGATGTGTAATCTTGGGCAATTTGACCTCTCTTTGCCTCAGTTTGCTCATCTGTAAAATGAAGATAGTAATAGCACCTATCTCACAGAGTTCGATATCAGGATCAAAAGGGGTAATATATGCGAAGTGCTTGGCAAACCTAGCAGTTATTATATGTAAGGAAAAAGTGGAGAGATTCACTAGCTGGTCAAGAAGCCAGAAGTTCTTAGACACCCAGGCTCTTGGAGCTTTCTTTCTTTCCTTCCTTCCTTCCTTCTTTCTTTTCTTCCTACCATCTTTCTTTCCACCTTCCTTTCCTTCCTTCCTTCCTTCCTTCCTTCCTTCCTTTCTTTCTTTCATTCTTTTTCTTTCTTTTCTTCTACCATCTTTCTTTCCACCTTCCTTCTTTCCTTCCTTCCTTCCTTCCTTCCTTCCTTTCTTTCTTTCTTTCTTTCTTTCTTTCATTCTTTTTCTTCCTTTCCTTCTTCCCACCCTGCCTTTTTTCTTTCTCCCCCTCTCTCTTTCTCTCCCTCCCTCTTTCTTCCCTCCCTCTCTTCCTTTAAGTATATACTCAATCCCACGTATTGCTTCCACAACTGTCCTGGTTCTCTGTTTCCCTCAGGACTCTGTTCCATTTGCTTCGGTGCATTTTTTTAAATGGAGCTTTGTCTTGGTCCTGGCTCTCCCGCCAGGTCGCTCAGGTTAGGAAGCTACAGAAGGCCAATCAGTGGTTGTTAGTCTCTCCCACTCCCCCGCTAACTTGGACCCCTTGACTCTTTAGGACTGTGGACTGGAACTCAATGATGAAGATGGCCACCGGTGCTACCCTCTGGAAGACCACTTGCTCTGCCACGCCTGCCATCTGAAGCACATTGAGAAGGGGGCCACCTCTGCAGCCGTCCACCAGCATCCCTACTAGTCCAACTTGGGACCAGCAGCAGGGAATGTCTAATCAATGAATCATAATTTCAGTTTCAGAGACTGAGGTGTGTTTGGGTTTGGGGGAGGTGGAAGGGTGATAAAGGAAAAGGATGCGTGTCTGTGTGTGCATGGTTTGGTTTTTCCTCGGCCAGGAAAGTGAAACATTATCCATTCTGGTACCTATATCTTCCAAGTGCCTTCCTCCATACTTGGGCGGTCTTCAGATTACTTGGGAGAATGCATCATTATAAAGGCACAGGGAGATTCGATCGTGGAAAGCCCAATTAGCCATCCTAAGACCTGTCTGCTAAGGATAATGTGCCTTCTTCTATGTGATTCATGTTGAGTCTGTTTTAAGATCTCCCCCCATTCCCCATTCAGGATACCAACAGATTGATAACAGACTTTCACAGCCTTTCTTTTTCCTTAGGAAAATAATAACCATGTATAAAACACCCTTCAGATCTTCCTCTTGCCCTAGGAGTGAGATTTTAGGTCTTGTTTAGAATCTCTGAGAATGATCATTGTGTTACCAAAAGAGGCAGGCTGTACATTTTCATTGGTGATGTGGGAAAGTTTTGTCAACTAGAGCCAGGTGTTTATGTGAAGCCAAGTAGGGCACCCGTAGAAATATCTTGTCCTCAGAGTAATTTTTTTTGGATTGGACCCAGGTTTTGGGAGTGTCTGGTGAGAAAACATCCTGTACCAGTGCAGATATGCCTCTTGTGGTCTGGGAGAGTTTTCTGGGGCACTTAGACTTTCAACGACTTGCTCAGGCTCCGATGGCCAGGATGTGTCAGGGCACCATTTAAACCTAGGTCTTCCTGATTCCGAGGCCAGTTTTTTATCCACTATGCCATACCAGTCTCTCATTGGTTTTACTGGCGCCAAAATCTATATTTCTGGCTCCTAGCACACATGTAGTAAATGCTTTGATGAATGTTTGTCTTTTTTTTCATTTTGTTGAATCTCTTCAGAACTCTCTTTTCCTCAACTCCCCTCCCTCAATCTCCCAAGAAGCATGGGATCCATAGGGTAGATCTTGTCTTCTTTTTTCCTACCTGAGAATTTTCCTACCAAATCTACCATGAGAGGAGAGCTTGGTGCAGGCACCATTCAGCTCATGCCAGCTTCTCAGGGTTAGGTCCAGGAGTTCCAAGGCTCCCATTGCTATGAAATAGATATTGGCAGGAAGGTTGGGAGGGTGTTCTGGGAACACAAGGGCCAACTTTTCTTTAGCTTGGCTACCATTTTGTATTTGAACCTACACAGGGTTCTGGAGACAGACTAAGAGCAAGCACCTTAATGGATATAAAGCAGACCCTTTTTCTAGAAAACCAGATTGCTCAGGAACATACTCCCCATCTTCTTGGAGAAAAGGTATTTAAATCAAGAAAATTACTTCAGAGATGAAGTCACTCATGCTGATACTCAGTGCCATAGACCCAGAGAGGCATCATCATCTAGTGAATAGAGCCTTATACTTAACAGTCAGGAAGACCTGGGTTCAGATGCTCCCTCGAACACTGACTAGCTGTGTGACCCTTGGCAGGTCACTTAGCCACCACCTGCCTCAGTTTCCTGATCTGTAAAATAAGAGTTGAATTCAATGACTTCCAAAGTCCCTTCCAGTTCTAAGTCTATAAGCTTTAGCTTTGAAGAAACTACTGCTTCCTTAAACTATGGATGGCTCTTCAAAAAACACAAAACTTTCCTAATATAGCCTAACCAGATTTAAGGGTAAGTGCCTATACCAGAATCCTCTGCTTTGGTCCTCTGAACTCTTTGTTTACATTGCATCGTATCCTCTAGCAAAATGCTGCCTTTTCTTACATGGGCCAATCTCCAGTTCATGAAATCACTGGCAACTAAACTCTTACATAGGTGGAAATTTGTGCCAGATTTAAATTCAGGTATACCATCTTTTATATTCCAATCACATTTCCCAAGAAGCAGCACAACATGAAAAACAGCTGGATGTCGGTAAGATTTCAATAGCATTTACCCTATGGTAGAGCTGAGCCACTCTTTGGGGGCCTAGTGCTAATACCACTCAGTGGAAGGAACAGGGAAAAAAAGACCATGAAAATGTCTCCAATTTTTTCTTTTTTGGATGCAGCCTGTGGTAAAAGTAGATCCCAGAGCTGGCCCTGGCCCACCTCCACTCTCAGACCCTCCCAGGCAGGACAAGGTTCCAAGGCCAACTGTTACCTCTGGTCTGTGAAAGCCTTGAGTGCTGAATTTCCAGGGATGTCTAAACGACCTCAGGCTGCATCACAATGAGGGGACAGGGCTGGGAAGTTAAAGGTTGTTCAGTAGGACTGGGGGCTAGATCACACAGCTCCATAGCAGATTTAACAAGGAAAAGCTCTGGCATCCCAAAATGTTTTTCCACCTATAGAACCTTCCCAGGTTTATCTAATAGCAGGTAGCAGGTGTGTTCCAAAGCCTGAAAGAAGCCCAGGACTTGGACCTTGATGAATTGTGTTTACATTTTTATCAAAATTCACATCCCATAGCTGGATTCACATCCCAGGCTGGCCTAGCCTGCTTTTTGTTTTCCTTCCCCACCCTGCTATGGGTTCTGGCCTAGCAGACCTAGCATAATTGGTAAATCATAGAATTAGAGTGACAATGGACTCTAGAAATCATCTAGTCAATACCCTCATTTCACAGAGGAAAAAACTGAGGCCCATAAATGTGAAGTGACGTGTCCAAAGTCACTGAGTCAGGCAGTCAAGAAGCATTTATTAGGCACCTACTGTATGCCAGGTCCTGTGTTAAGTGCTGGTGAGACAGAAGGGCAAAGCAACCAGTTCCTGGTCCAATGCCAGCTGGGCTCTGCTGATGTGGCTCTTTACTTCCTGGGACAAGAGAGTTCACGGGGAGGATTTACAGGAATGACTCTGGGAAGAAGCTTCTTGGGATCCCCCAGTGTGAGGTGCCTTTGGTGAAGATGGAGCTGCATGACTTGGGGAAGAACACTGCCTTCGGTGCTGGGCCCAGTGTTTGGCTTAGTGTAAACTTTCTCACTCTCCTTCATGCTCCCTCCAAAGAAGCTACTGCTGGTCAGACCCCATGGCTGTTTTTAAAGTTCTAAAACTAGGCAGTATGGCCAGCCCAGCCTGCCACTTTCAAGGCTGTCCTGCTCGTCTGTGCTTACTGGTCTTCCTTCTTGTCTCTTCTCTGCATTTTTAAAAAAAAGATGCCTCAATGATTTTCTTTCCTCTCTTTCTCCATCTCTCTCTCTCTCTCTCTGTCTCTTTCTTTTTTTCTTCTTTCCTTCCTTCCCTCCTTCTCTTCCTCCTTCCCTTCTTTCTTTCTTTCTCTTTCTTTTTTATTCCTCCTTCCTTTCTTCCTCCCTCCCTCTCTTCCTCCTTCCCTCTCTTCCTTCTTTCTTTCTCCTTTCCCTATCACCCCTTTGTCTTTTCACTCCCATTCCCACTAGAATCAAAGACCCTGAAGCAACTCTCAAGAACTTTATAAGTTGCAGGGTAGGTGTAAACTTGCTTGGGTTCAGGGAGTTTCTTCATTTGCCATTTCCTTTGTCAATAAAATAAAAGGTCCAGTCTATATACATATGTACACACATGCATATATATATATATATATATGGGTATATAAAACATTTATACACATATATGTGTACACACATGAATTATATGTTACATTCATACATGCATGCGTATATACATGCATTGGTCCAAACACCATCTATGCATACATGCAGACACAACACACATACATCCTGTATACAGGCATGCATGTATGTATACATGCATACACACATATAACATGGTAACTACCTGGTTTGTATTTATACATAGCAAAAAAAGGAGGCTGTCATTTGCCATCTCTATGACTTGGGACAAGTCACTTTATTTTTCTAGACCTTGGTTTCATCCCCTGTAAAATGAGGGGGTTAGACTGCAGACCCCTTAAGGTCCCCCCCAGTTTTAAGTCTCTGATCCTCTAGTCTGTGACTTTATGGCCTGGTGTCAGTGAAGATATTTTTAAAAGTAGAGTGAAGGAACCTTATGGTTTCACCCATCTACTTGTTCATACATGTGCTTTCCATTTTGATTACATGGACCTTGTTAATCCCGGATTCTTCACTTTAGGAAACTAGCCTTCTTCCTTTGCTTGACTTAGAACTTGTCACCGTCCCTCCATCTGCTTATTACTTAGCTTGAGGCATTTAAAAATGGTATGGATGGTTCAAGTCAAATTAATTTTCATAGTGAAATTCATTTAATTGTAGTTTACTGAAGCAGAATCCTACGTTCTGATGTTGACTAACATTTCTTATTAAATATAGCCTTGCTAGCATCTAAATGTTGAAGCCTGCTCCTTCCAGATCATTGCTTCTCCACCCTTTTCATTTTAAGTGCTGACGTTTTCGGCATGCCACATCTGAGTTACTGCAGTAGCTTACTAAAGAGACTGAAGGTCTGGGCTCAGAATTCTTGGCAGAAAAAATAGGAGTGGAGGCCTCTGCAGGCCGTAGGGGGTGTTGTTCTGCTCTTCAGGTCTATTATTGGCTTGTCTCCCTGGATATTTTAGTGCTAAGGAAAGAAAAATTGAAATTAAAAGTGGATATTAGAATCTGGGTGGACCACTGGCCATTATTGGTGTGATTGAGAAAACACAGTGATCTTGTGAATGTAATTTGTGTTTCTTTCATCCTCAAACTTGTACAAATAGAATGGACACCTGAAATCTCATGGTTCTGTGGGAAGGCCAGCAGTAGAATGTCATTAGGCTGATGGGTCCACTGCGGCCTTGTCCATAAACAAAGGTCCTTTGTTTTCCTCCTTCCTTTGCACCACCCATGATATCCAAGGTTATTCTAGAACATCTGAAGTCACTCTCAAGCGAAATCTTCTTAAAAAAAGACAAAGTGAAGGGGAAACAGGAACAAGCATTTATTAAGTGTCTACTGTTGTCAAGCACTAATGCTGAGCCCTTTTATACATATTATCTCATTTGAGATGCAGTGTCTTTGATATCTTTTTTTCTGAGCCAGAACTTGGCAGAGTTGGAGGAAAGAATTTCTGTGTTGAGTATGAAAAGCTCACTGTGAGGGGAAGTATTTTCCTCAGTGTTTATCTTTTGTT